GCACATTTTAATAGACGGGGGCGGGCGGCAGTGAACCATGATTTAAACAGCTTGCAGCTCACGTAATTTTCACTCCTCGCGAGAATCTGGGCCTCATTGAACTTCAACTTGTAGCCAGGTTTCGTCAAATGGCCCGCGGCGACCTAAGAGTTAGCATCATTTCTCCGCACTGCTGCCGTATGTTCGGCCATTTCAGTTCAGAGCAGTCTTCAGGTTTGTCCGACGTAATTTTTTTGTTCGCCACTGTGCCAGATCCGATAAACGGCCTCAGAAGTTTTTTTCTACCGTGGTTGGGGGTCTTTCGGTTGTTGTATCTGACTCTCGTTACCTAGCACGTCCAAACCATGGCGTTCACAGATTACCTCCATTATGAACTTCCGCTGTGACAAATTAGGTGCCAAACGGTCGCTAGGAGTCTTCTCCAACCGATGCGCGCGTTTAGAATTGGATTTCAAATTTTGGTCCTCCGACGGGGGTTCATATTTTTCTACATTTTGAAACATTGGAAGCTCCTGCAGCCAACCCGAATTAAAAATCTACTTCAAGATGGCAATATTCGCATCGTCCACAAACAACAACACGACTTTCGCAGAACGTGGACGTCGATCACTACCAGTTGCTACATATGTAGAAGCCCAGAGAACAGATAGCAGATGATCACCGCCGGACAAGCAGGTGATTGATAATAAGACTCAGGCAACTGAAATCACACAAAATAAGAAGAAATTAGGCACCAATGGACTAATGATTGAAGAGGGAACGACATAAATCGGGCGGCTTCGTCGTACTCGAGGAAAATAACTAAGGTGAAAAAGGCAGAGCTTGTCTGAGCAATCGACAGAAACCCCCAACGACTGAGTAGAAGCAGTCACGGCGGATACGAATATTCTCTCTATTGACATAAACGATCGGGACAGTACTGCCACAAACACAACGCGGTTAGTTCAAGAACAGGTCCCCAAAGGAGAAGACAACCTGGACATCGTCATGAAAGGTTCGCCAGAAACTCCCAAGTCACCATCAACACGCAACAAAGACAGGCCACTCCGAGAATAGTGCTTCAGGGGCTTCAGGAGGCACACGCAGACACACCTGAAGAACGCGTTCTGGCAGATCTCGGCCTGTTCTAAGGTCTTCTGTATACAGTGCTTCAACCCAACTAAGAAGTTTTGGTACCGAAAGCCTTCAGGCTCGGAAAACGCACTACTGAACGCTCCATCTCACGGCATCCTAGGTCCCTCAAAATTGTTCTGAGTTGCAAAGAGCGTTTCAATCTCATCCTTTTAAGGCGTTTTCAATTAAAATATTCCAACCAAGTAGTTTTTCGGCCGGACTGCGCATCATCGGAACGGCTAAAACGCCAGCAATTAGTCCAGAAACTCCGGCTACCATAGAGGAGTTGCGAAGAAAACTTGAACTGATATGAATTAGAAGCGATCGTTGGAACAAGAGGCTTATTGGCCTGACATTTCGGACTCTCGCTCGAACCCATCATCAGAGACAGTGACAGAAAGGGGTCACTGTCACTGTCTCTGATGATGGGTTCGAGCGAGAATCCGAAACGTCAGGCGAATAAAGCTCTTGTTCCAACTATCGCTTCTACTTCTTATGAGATTTTGCAGATGAAGATCCTGCTTAACAAATTTACTCTACTCTCTAGAGCGGTGGACGCCTAGCGATTGATGGGGGGAACGTGGAGCATGTGGCCTGCATAGACTTGCGGAAGGCCTTCGATAATGTGCCACACCAACGTCTCCTATAGAAACTCAGCCGCATAATGGTAAGAGGCAGCTTTGAAGTGGATCGAAAACTTCTCGATTGATCGATCTCATATTGTCCGTATTGGCGACTAGCAACCGGCGGGGCTAGCGGCGTACTTCAGAGCTCTTACTTGTACTTGTACTTGATACGGCTGCGATCATGTCTGATCTAGCCGGCCTCGATGAAGTCCCGAACTGTACCTCTCCACGCGTGACGATCCGCGGCAGCAGATCTAGACAGCTCAACCCATTCCCTTCGCCAATGACGGAGACCGAATATCGAAGGTCCAAGAACCACCTCTATGCCTTGACTGACAGTGCAGAGCCTGGTTTTGGACTGACCCCCTCTTCGACGCCTCCAATGGGGCAACGGTGCCGGATCGAGGGCAGTAACACTGAGCTCCTGAGGTGGACGACGGAGAACATGCCCGAACCACCTCAGTCGTCTTTCTTGGATGGCCTGAATTATCCTCGCGATGTTATCGCAGCGAGCGCGGACTATCTCATTTGAGACGAAGTCGGTTAACTTCACTTGAAGGATGATCCTCAAGCAGTGGTGGTCAAATACTTCCAGTTTTCGCTCATCCTCCACGCGCAAAGCCCAGCATTCACAACCGTAGAGAAGGACAGTCCGGACAGATGCACGGTACACGTGAATCTTAGTGGCAATGGAGAGGTCACGTCGGTTCCACAAGTATTTCCGAAGGCTTGAAAAAACCCTGCGGGCAGCATCGATTCGGGAGACAATGTCGTCCTTACTCTGTCCATTAGGCAGCAGCCTCGCCCCGAGGTATTTAAAATTGTCTACTTCATCAAGCTGACAGCCATCAATCCCCAGGGGTGCCTTCTCCTGGTCAGGAATG